TTTATATATAAGGTCATCTGAGAAAGTATCCAGCCATTTTGTAGTACCGGTTGTGTTGTCTCAACGTAATTTGGCGATCAATCACTTACTATGAATGTTGAAATTTTAAACTTTTAAATTTAATTAATTTTAGTGTTAATATATTATTTTATTTAAATTGAGGTTTCTTCTATGTATATCTTATGGCAATTATTACAGGTAATAGAGTTAATTCCCCCTTCAAGTTTTAGTTTATTATTATTTTGTTTTGTATTAATTATGTATTGTTTTGGAAGTAGTTTTAACAAATTTTATGTTAAGCTTAGATGCTAATTCTTCTCAATTGTAGTTGTAAGTAGAATACTATATTTTGATTCGTTGGCCTTATCAAAATGGTTTCCTCGTCTATTTTCAAATATTTTACGAGTCTTCAATTTCTTGTTGAATATGAATGGGAGTATTAGAGGAATTTAAAAGTATTTTCAATGCACTTCTCATCTTCAGATAAATTTCTATACCATCTCCCATATCATATTGTCCTAAGATATTATTATATGTGTAATGCAAAGACAATGCTATTTTAATATACAAATGCATTGGAAATCAGGAAGAAAGGGATTGATGGTAGCTAAGAATCAATTCGAATATTACTTGCTAAATAGGGGTGTTATATTTTCAACTCTTGGCCAGTGTGTATAAATGGTCGACAGTCGAGTAACCTCAACTGTGTACTCTATTTGTGTAGTTAAATCGAAACCGTTGCGAGTGGCACATAGTGAAGTGGAATGCAACTGTTATGGTTCAACTAACCAGAAATCTTTTTATTACAGTATCGATTGGATGGTGGATGTTAATGAATCTCAACACCGTCCATCTATCTGAATTTCTCCTTAGTCAACCTGGCAGTGTGTGGCCTCGCATTGTCTTGCTGAAACAGAGCTCGACCTCGATTGACCAAAGCGCGATATTCCTTCTTTTGTTTGTCGTACAAGCGGCCTAACCGCTGGCAGTACAATTTAGCGTTGATGGCGCGACCGTGTGGAAACAAGCTCGGAATGCAATACTCTTTGGAAATTACACCAGACAGAGATCAAGATTTGTTGTTTTCTTTCCGCTTTCTAGTCAACCTAGTATGTAATTGATAATGAAATTTATAGCACCATCTCTATAATAATTGTCTTTATTTTTGCAGTTCAGTATTTATTTTCGATTTTTTTTAAATTCGACTTCATTGTTTTGATATAAAACACAACTGACAAAAATATTTAGATTCGCAGAATTATTTTCTTTACGCTCTTTTGTCCTTAAATTCAACATTTTTTTTTCGCTCATTTGTCGTCGTTTATTTGGTCCCGTTGTTTGGTCTCCAACAATATTGTCATTTGTCGCATTTACTGTTGTGTATCAAGCAATGATAGTAAGAACTGTAGTTATTGTGAAGGGGGTGATATAAAATTCGTTACAAGAAGACAGTCGTCAAATAGACAGTCAGTGATGTTAGCATTTGTCAAAGTTCGCGTCTCTCGAGGAAAAAATAATACTTTGCATTATGGCCATATTGTGTAAATTCTCTTCAGACAGACACTCGTTATCTCAACGGACAGGCATTTTTGTAAATGACATTATATTTTCTCGTGGCTGCTATCTTACACTTGTGTCGTTTGTTGACGTTTGCTTTGAATCACTTGACGGATGAACTATTTACGCCCAAGTATCTTAGAGTGTAACTTTGGTTTAAACCGATCCTCACGTTCATTGTAATAATATAAAGTTTATCAATTGTAAAGCGTATTGAAATATTTTTGTTTCAAAAGGTTTCCTTTTAATAAATGCTATTTAACAAGTACCCACAGTAAGGATACAAATTCAAACCTAATCTCACATGACACTAGTGTGTTTGATTCTTACTCAGTGTCCTATTATCGTGACCTTGTGCCAGACTAAACCAAACTTACGAAACATTTACTTCATTATTGATTTTTATTATTGGGATTATATTTTCAGTCTGCGCCATTATTTAAAGAAAACATATTGACTATTTTCAGCTCCAATGTCGAGAGCTAACCTTAACAAAAATGAGAATGACTTGGTAGAAGCATTGGTAGAAAGTATATTTTCCCCATGTGCACTTTTTTGTGATATCATAGTTTAAAACAAAGTTCATTTAGAGAAGAAGACATTGCTGCGCCAGTCTTTCAAGTGGGGATGACTTGTCTGCAATGAAAATAAGCATTAAAAATGGTTTCTTATATGGGATCGAATACTGGCCACTGTCACCAATGGGAAATTCACAGGTACACAAGTATCTTAACCACAAGTAAGGTCAAGTTATAATCACGGGTATTTACAAAAATGTAAGGAAAAATATCAAACAATTAACAAAGGAAATAAAAAAACACAAACTTATTTCTTTGAGAAACCAGTATAAACCACAATAATATCATTAAATCAAATCACCCACAGAAGAAATTTCCTGGTCTAAAAAAAGTTCGAATCATCTCAACCCTGACCACACCGAACTTAAGATGTCCGCGAAAATAGAACATAAAGCAATATACATCCAATCATTACAAATTTCGTCTTGAAAGACAAACAATAATGAACTTACTGATGTGTAAATTAAAAAAAAAGCTATTAAAAATCAAGGAATAATAAAACATCACTTGACATTGAGGCTGAACTTTTGAAAATAGCTTACTTTCTCACCAAATTCAATAACAAATTCCTATGTTTTAGGAAAGGTATCCTCAAAATGTGGGGTTTGTCACGCATTAGTGCATTATGGAAACAGAAAGGCAGTCCTCAAGACCCTCACACATATATAGAAGTATCTCAGTTGGATCCATCATGGTGAAAGTAGTAGAGTAATAATAATATTAACTAGGTTTCTATCTTTCTATGAAAGTCAACTCCTCACGATTCAGTTTGATTGGCGTTCTAGCAAGGGATGCGGTTCTGACATATAATGTCATAAAACAACCCCAAGAAATTGCTCATGTCTATAAAAGGGAAACTAAATACTTGCTTTGTCGACCTCATATCAGCATATGACCACATCAGTAGAGATTTACTCTTCTCATCCATTAGAAATCGTCTTCTAAGCTCCGAATTCTACTGAATGCATCGATATAATTGAGGAACTGTATCTACAAAATCTTACATAACTGGTGAAGACCTCATTGAAGAAACATTTCAAATATCATCAGGAGCATGACAAGGAAAAGATGAGGGCCCCAGTCTACCTAGTCTTGTCCTATACTATGTCCTGTGCATTTACAAAACACAGATGTAATGAGATGGGCATTAAACATTTAAGCATTCCATACCACATCTCAAAGGAATTTTTAAATAGAAGACAATGATCCTGTTTTTTCTTCTTGAGGCCAATGTGCTGATGAGGGTCTATGATGGTGACGTAGGTAGTCATAGTTTGGATAAGAATGATATTGAACAGAAAATCAACATTCTTTATCAAGTGTTCCAATAGGACTCAACATAAACCTTTCCAAAACAGAAACTATGATCTGGAATTGGAATGAAAGCAATGATTGCACATCGAGTGAATCCATCTTAAAAAATCAAGATGTGGAATTAGTAAATATTAAACACTTCAAATACCTCGTATGAACCCATTATAACAAATTTAGTATAGGAGAAAAGGGAACTGAACATAGAATGTGCTGCGCCAGAGGTAGTTCCGCAAATTTCTATAAAATCCGAGTATCAACCTGAAAAATCTAGTCATATTCTTAAATTACCTCGTCAGATCGACTCTTTGAGTGATTGAAGCCTGAGGATTTTGGCAAACAACATTCTTCTTTATGTGGATTGGCGCTACTGAATCACAAACAAAGAACTGTAGCAAATAACAGAAAACGCATCACTACGAATAGCAACAACAACTAAAATGGATAGCATGTATAACTCAAAGAGAAAATAATGACATAAGATGTTGATATTGCAAACTACTTCAAATAAAAGGTGAGAAAGGAAAACCCCATTGATACTGGAAAGAGCATCGACAGCTACTGGACTTAAAAAAACAAAAACTATTTTCCAGAAAATTGTTTAATAGAAAGCTTTTATAAATTTAACCGAAAACAGTACTGGCTGCTCGGTCAGTGAATGCCAAATGTTTCCTTGGAGATAAAAAGCTAACATTATAATTTCCAAATTAGTCTGACACGAGGTCACAGGTATAGAATAACTTCCTCGTCTTTTAATGTACCAATTCTATTTATCTGAGCTAAACGATTATATTATTTATTCACGGATAACTTCATGTTACAGTCGTCAAAGACTTCTTATTGTTACCGAACCTTTTACCACTAATCATGGATTTTACATGTCACAGATTGACTGCTTCCGAGAATGTGTCTTTGGTTAGTTTGAAAGTTAGGGTCGATCTGAACTCATTTAAGTGTACGGTGACTTTGTAGATATTTAGGTTAGAGAATGACTTTTGATTAGAAAGAGATTACAAAGAGTTTTTGGGTGACAGGTCAAGGATGGGAAAGTAGAAAAATTCAATAAATCACTTGTCTCTCTTTTCCTCGCTTGGTTTCTGTCACCTGAGCGCATCGTCGGCAAGATTCATTAATCAAACCTGACAATTTCTCGCACAAAGCGCATTTAGCAACAAGGGAGCTGAAGACAACGACAGAAGACTCAGAAGCGTTTTCGGATTGCAAACCAACCGATTTGCAGAGGCATAAAAACTTAGTAAGTCCTGCTGTGCAGAAGATAACAGATTAAAAGAAAATTGACAGGGAAAGATGAAATAACAGATACGAAGAAGAGAAATAGAAAAGGAGCACTGCAAGTGTAAGTGTGTGTGTGTGTGTGTATATGTATGTGTGTGAAACAGATATATATATATATATATATATATATATATATGTGTGTGTGTGTGTGTGCGTGTAGGAAGAGAGAGAGAAAGGAAAGAAAAGAGAAGGAGAGAGGAAATATAGGAATTAAAAAAGAGAAAAAAAAACAATAGAGAAAAACTGGTAAAAAGTTAACTAATCAGAAAGAAAGTGGATAGTGATGAAAAAGAAGCGAAAATGAAGAAAATAAAAAGACAGACGGAAAAGAGTAAAAGAGGAGAATATAAGGAGAATAAGAATAGAGAGAGAGAGAGAGAGAGAGAAAGAGAGAGAGGGGGAGGGGGAGAGAAAAAAATCAATGTTAGTAAAAGGGAAGGGGGAACGAAACAGAAAAGAAGAGAGACAAAATAAATAATAAATAAGTATTAGTAAAAGGGAATAAAGAAGAAAGAGAGAGAAATATAAAGAGAGAAGAAGAAGAGATATTAGTAAAAAGAAAGATGGAAGAAAGCGAAAGAGATTAATATATGGAGAGAGGTGGGAGAGAGAATAAATTAATATAAGTAAAAGGGATGAAATAAGAAAGAAAAAAGAGAGGCCTATAAAGAAGGAGAGAGTGGGTGAAAAAATAAATGTTAGTAAAAGGGAATAACGAAGAAAGAAAAAGAGAAATGTAAGGAAGAAAGTGAAAAAGAGAGAGATAAAGAGAGAGAGAGAGAGAGAGAGGAATAAATATAAGTAAAAGAGAAAAAGAAAGAAGGAGAAAGAGAAAAATATAAAGAAAGAAAGAGAGAGACAGAGAGAGTATAGGAAATTCTGAGATGCATACAATACTTACTTAGATAAGGGTTCGTGAAAATTGGCTAAAACAAAGCACTTTTGTCGGAAATGCAATGCCATTTCCTCACCTGATGTTCAAGTGAAAAGTGGGGAAAAACGAATATGCTGTATACAAAATTGCTTTGTTGCAAAGAAAACGCGACGTCTTCTCTGAGCATGAAAGCGCTGTTGTTGTTGTTTATGAGGCGAAGAATAAAACGATGACGTAATTAGTTCTCGCCAAACTGAAACCACCAAATGGACTTTCAGGTGACTGAAGAGCGGGGCAAGATCTAACACTTCAGGATGGAGAAATCTTTGTGTTTTTGCTTAGAGTTACGACAATATACTAAGTGTTCGCAATTGAAACAATGAAGTCAGATCACAAACCAAATGCTGAGTCAATGCTAATTAGTATCTTACGTTTGTCTCGAAGAAAATACTAATTTTAAAACAAAGAAAAAAGTACTTTCCGAAACCATTCTTTCTAATACACTAACTTTTGCTATAGGATAGGCGAGTAGTTTCACAAAAATCTGCGCAGAAAGTGGAACTGGCAAACCGTACTCAAATTTCAGGTTCACTTTCGAACTAAAGTCCATGGGAAATACATGGATTCAGATCTTCACCCTCAGCCATAGCAAAGTTGACGAGACTATTGCTTCTTATGTGACAGCCACTGTAAGATAAGAAAAAACTTAACCTACATAAGCACCTGGTGAGTCATGTGATTCTGTAGTGTCTTTTAATCATAAAATGTTAATGAATACGCGGAACCTGTCCTTTGATTACGCTATCCATGACCGTCTCTGTGTATGCGGAATACAACACAGGCGGATATTAGAGAGAAAGAAAGGTGTTTGCAAATATAAGCATAGTTAATTGATACCAACATCTGATGAATTTTGCATAATTGAAATTCATGATAGGCAAGTCAAATAAATTTTGCTTGATTTATGTTTTGATAGATCGACAGTATTAAATTTGTAAATCCCAGTAAAGTCATTTATATTTATATATCGCCATAGTAATGAGCGGATGAAAATTGCATTAAAAAATGAATTATAAGGATGGTTTGTTATTCGAGCTGAGTTTACCTATCTATCTTTAATCATTTCGCACTAAGCAAGATAATAAAGCCACTAAGACGTAAGAGGTTAATGAGTGTGAAAGAATATGAGAAAAAGAACAGAGCATTGGTAAGGAGATAGAACAATAAAAGAACTGAAATTAAGAAGATAACGACTAACAGTGAATTTCACTTTTTGGAGTTGACTGGAAAGAGAGTTTCACTAGCGAGAATTGCGAGAGAAGAATATACTGGCATAAAACTTACGGTTACATCTAGCCGCCATTTCAGTAATAAATTGTTGATATATAGCTGTTAATCTAGTACCGCGCTTAAATTCTTAAAGTCAAGGTACCAAAAGAGGAATGTTCATGAGAATAAATACCATGAAAATATTTATAGAAAAGGCACAGAAAAATTGCGTAATGGCAGTGGGAAAGTGATCGAAGACGAGATGCCAGGTTTGAATCGATAACATTGTAGATTCTCTGCATTTTATTAATAATCTCTAAATACATATCTATCTATCTATCTATCTATCTATCTATCTATCTATCTATCTGAATATAAATTAGAGTATATTTTATGTAATATAACACATACGTATAGTAAATAATTTAAAATGTCTGAAACTAACCAAATCTTGTCCATTTCTACATACAAATCCATGAATCTGAGAATTTAGTGACATTCTCATGCAGGAAATACAATGATTTACAGTATAAGTAAATATCTATATTTCTGAGATGAGGTATTATGGACACTATTTACTGATTATGTACACTATTTACTGAAGAAGGCCGGAGCGTACAACGGCCGAAACGTTGTGATAAACATGGCAACAAAGATGAGGACAATAGTCCGAATAATGCAAATAGTATAAGTATATATGTATATATTTATATGCGCATGTATATATGTATATATATATATAATTTTATATATATATATATATATATATATATGTATATATATATATATATATATATATATATATATATATATATATATATGGTATCAAATGAAAATTGAAAAAAATCTTACATTTTGCCGACGCGTTTCGTCTTCCGACTTTTTTTCAAGGCAAAATGAAATCGAAATGTTTTTATTGTTATATTCATCTGGGAATTTAACTAACTAACTAACCATATATATATATATATATATATATATATATATATATATATATATATATATATATATACATATAGTCGTACATGAAACACATGTCATGCTAGCGGTGAGAGATAATATTTATTAATACATACATACACACACACACACACACATATATATATATATGTGTGTGTGTGTGTTTATGTTTCACGTGTTTACAAAAATGAATTGGTAATATCTGTAAACACTTGCAGAGTAAGTACAGATAATGTCCGTTTATCCACAAGCACGTACCACCCCGTATATATATATATATATATATATATATATATATATAGAGAGAGAGAGAGAGATAGATAGATATATAGATATATAAAATTATATCTGTTTCTTTACATCTGTTTTATTGTTATTATTGTTATCGTTATTGTTATTATTGTTTTATTATTTATGAATAAAAACAAAAGGAAAACGTATGTTTTTAGCTATATCCGAAATCATACCTCACCCCTATATATATATATATATATATATATATATATATATATCCTCTATTTCTCCTCTCTTCAATCAATTTGAAGTGCTAACATCTGCTGATAATGCTGAATGTTTCGCTTTGAAATTCTCCGTAAAACTTTACACTTGACTCATTTGGATTATCCCTGCGTAACTTCTCATCTAGAACTGAATATCTGTTGAGTGACATGCATATAACCCTTTCTATTATCTCTAACCTGAATCCCCACAAAACATGTGCTGATGATATCCCTGTAATAGTCATTAAAAAGTGTGCTCCCGAACTGGCTCTTGTTCTCTCTAAACCGTATCACAAGTGTCGCGTCGCCTCTTGCTTTTCTGTCTGTTGGATGTCTTCATCTGTTGTTCCAGTTTTTAAGAATTCAATTGAGATCTCCGACCCTTACAACTATCATCCTCTTATCCTTCTACCCCTTTTTGGGGGGGGGCAAACTCCTTGAGGTCCTAATCATTTCTGAGTTGGTTAAGCATCTCACGTCGCAGGGCCTTCTCTCAGACGAGCAATATTCGTTTCTCAAGGTCAACTGCTGATGTACTGACGATAATTGTCGAAAGAATCTATGTAGCTCTAGATAAAAATGGTGAAGCTCGTTCTGTAGCTTTGTATATCCCGAAAGCTTTCGACAGGGATTAGCAAGCAGGTCTTGAAAAATTACGGTGTCTTCGGATAAATTTTTGAACCGAACCAGTCTTTCCTAACAAATCGTGAAATGAAAGTAACGCCGAAGGGCCTAATGCAGGTCCGCTCCACGGCTGCATTATTTATCCTACCTTGTTTTGGATTTTCATTAATGACCTCCCTGATGGCAACAGCTGTCATTTTGATATCTACTCTGATGATACAACCATTTACGCCTGTCTCTATAGTAAGTCATTCAGTTTGATAAGGTTAAAATGGCAGCTGATATCCAAAACAACCCTCAGGCTGTTGTTAACTGGGGCAAAGAATAGCTTGTTAATTTTATTGCCTCTAAAATTAAACTGCTCTCTATTAATCATCTGAGAGAACACTTTCTGTCTTCCATCAATCAGCATGGCTGATGCTAACCTCCAGGGAAGTAACTCGCTGTGCCTTCTTGAGCTAACCTCGTCGGCTGACATGAAGTGGAAAGTCTATATTGAATCCATTGCTAGGTCAACTGCTAAGAAAGTCGATTCATTCTGTCGTGCTAGACAATATTTCTCCCCAGACTCTATCTTACCTATCAATAAGTCTACTATTTGACCATGCTTAGGATATTGCTGCCACATATGGTCCAGTGCTCCTGTTATTTATGTAGATCTCATTGATAAATTCCAAAGAAGAATCAGCAATATTATTGGTCCCGATCTGGCGTCTCGGCTTCAGTCACTTTCCAACGGCTGTAAGGTTGACACCGTCTGACATTTCTATAAATACATTGATGGCCATTGTTCGGATGAGCTCTTTGCTATGTACATAGACCCTTTGAATTTAAACGCAGTAATTGACTGACGACAACATCTCACCAACTTACAGTTAAGTTGATTAGATGTAACCGTAAATTGATTAGATGTAACCGTAAATTGATTAGATGTAACCGTAAATTGATTTGATGTAACCGTAAATTGATTAGAAGTAACCGTAAATTCTATGCTGACAGTTACTCTTCTCGCACTTCTCGGTTTGGAAATGTCTTTCGCTGTCTACTGCTCTCCTGATTATTATTCTTTTGTTCCCCCTCCTTAGAAATGTTTCTGTTTCTAACTTCCACACCCAGTAACCTCTTGTTTCTCAGTGGCTTTACTGGCTTATATGGGGGGGACGATTTATATATATATATATATATATATATATATATATATATATATATATATATATATATAAATATAGACATTATATATATATATATATATATATAAGGCGTATTTCGGCAACAAGAATTCTCTCAGACATGTTTTGTTAAATAACATAGATAAGTTCCGTGTATCAATTTTTTTATTAAAAGATTTATGGATAGGTTGCTTTCTGTTATCGGTAAATTTGCCAAAATTCATATTAACTTATATTTTATATTAATTTGTTCTCCCAAGTACCTTCGAATGTTGCTACATTCGTTTTCAAGGATTATTCTGTGTGTAATAACGCCACTGGTTTTTAATTTTGGCGTTCTCACGTTTGATGGAACTAATTTCAAGTCACTCTCAGTGACGTCAAACTGAAATATGTGTGTGCTTACGTATATATATATATATATATATATATATATATATATATATATATATATATATATATATATATTCCCGATCCTTTTTTTCAAATATATGCATTCAATTTTGCCTATATGATTAAAATAGGGGATCTTATTCCTAGAAATAGAAAATCTAATTCATTGCGAAATCAAATTCTCAATATGTAGTGTTTACTCAATTCTTGTTGAACCCAACAGGCAATTTGCTTTATTCCTCGATTAAAATAATATGATTTAAAAAAAAATA